CATCGAATCATCTATTCCAGCACCATATAGTTCACCTTCGTCTTCAACAGCTGCCTCAGCAGCATCAATTTGACGCTGTCTTGAATGCATCTTAGCCTCTCGATTGTTGCTATTTTTACAAACGTCGCTTCTCGTGACCCTCTCTGTATCTGTCGCTTCAGCGTATGCATGCACGTTCTGCTCACATTTAACCCCGTAATTGTCTAAAACTGCCAGCAGACCCATTTGACTTTCATTTAAGGAACATGTAGCAATGTAAGTTGCGATCCCGACCATAACTGTGCTCGCAGGTGGATGTTTCGGCATAATCTTTCAAATACACTGATTATAACTTTTATTGCTATTCTGAGTGTGCCCGCCCAAGCATCTTTCCAACAGCTTATCTTTGTGATTGCTACACACTATTTCTCGTGTTTCGGAAATTTTAAAAGATACTAGTTAGTACCTTTTCGGCTTTTCCAATATTCATACACTTTACAATAAGCACTTTTGATCACTACGTCCACAACTTATCTAGTGTAACATCCAATCAAGCTAACAACGCCATATAACGACGTGAAACCACGTTTGTGCCAAATGCTATCACCGGAGACTGTTAAATCAGTATTATTGTCTTTGTTTGTGAATTTAGTGTTTTTTTTTAATTTCTTCTTTCACAGCTTTTTTCATAAAAAATTCAGCAGTTATTTTAGCTGCGTTATACAATTGATTAAGTTGAAGTTTGTATGTTGGCCTCGTCAAAAACGGCGGAAGATCCATCAAACCGTAAAACTGTAATACATCTTTGAATCCAATACCTAATACTCGCATTACAAATATTATTCGCCGATTTATTTCGTAGTCACGTCCGACGTATGGAGAAAGACGGTATGTACGTAAGGTCACACTTATCACAAATTACAGCCCATTGAAATCCAAGTTCATTTGCTATTGAAAAGTTCACTTTCCTGTTGCATTTTGCACATTTGACTAAATTAGAAATTAATGAAAAAACCGTAAAAAAGTTTGATTCTATAGTTGATTGAACCGTCTTTGGGCACATAATATTCTTTATCAACTTTCAATTTTTTCGCTGACGCTGATGCATTTTTACCCTCTTCCACGTGAGCTGTATACACCCTTTTTTTCCTCGGTTTACTTTTTACAACGGATGTATCTGCTCTTATACTTCTCGTTACTTTATTACGACCCATTTTGTTTGAATATAGAAAGAAAAAGTTTGAATATAACAAGCCAAACGTAAGGTAATCAAATTGTTAGGTTATAACCTCAATTTGACAAAAATAATTTTATCTAAGCAACATAGTCAACTATTAACTGTTAATTTTTAATAATAATAAAAACTTAATCTTTTATTACTATTTATATATATATATAAATATATATAATAATATGTATATTTACTAGGGGTGCCCCAGCCACGCGTTGCTGTGGCTTTTTCGACGTGAAAACTTTTTTAGAATCAGATTGATTTAAAAATCGTTAAACGAAAGAACGTAAAACTAATGAAACAAAAATAATTTATTAATTAATAAAATTTAATATATAATTTTTTATTCTATATATTAATTAATAAATAAAATTCTATATATAAAAAGTCAGTGTCACATTATGTTTGTCTACTAATAATTCTGAAACTGCTTATCTTATTTTAATGAAATTTGTTTTATTACATGTGTTTTTTTCCAACTTAGCACCTAGCATAATTTCAAAACACCAAACATCCATTTCTTTAATTCATTGTACTTAATAACATCAATTAATCTATTTTATATTTACATATCGCAATAATATCATAATCACTAATCATAATAACACAAAAAGAAACATTATCAATCTGTAAGTGCTATGGAGTGTACGATGTTTTTCCGTTCGTATTTTTGCACGAAAGTCATAGCTTTTTTTATATGAACCGTTTATTTTGAAAGTGGCCTAAGTTCATTTATCTTAAAATCGAGATATTTAAGGGTTTGCGTTTCAATGAATTTAAAAATATACGTACAAGATACTAACGAGTTATACTGCTTAAGTGTATCTAAAGGCTTCAAATTTATATTTCCTATTAAAATAGTTGCAATTATTAAGTAATTAATATGCGTTTTCTAACCACGAATGGAGATAGGCCACTTTCAAAATTAACAACCAGATTCATTATAAAATTTGAAGGTGCCCAAGTCCATTCAACATAATTTAAGATGCATCAAATTAAAAAAAAAACAATACTGAAATTATTTTACATATCCTTAAAACACTTCAGGAACATAATTTATGCGATTCAATTAACTACATAACGTACAAAATTACAAACATAAATTTATTACAAAATAATTTACTACTCATCTACATTTTGAACGTGTAAAAGGGATTTGAAGTAATCATGATGTTCCGGTGATATATATCGTAATAGGTCCATTATGTCCTTGAATTTTGCTGTTGTAATTTGTCTGATATTTTTATAAATTGTGTCAATACAATATTTTCGAACTTTTTTGGTCTACCTCGACGTGGTAATAAATTCAGGACTTCAAAATTTTCATTCTTATTCATTGATGTCTTATAGAAAATTTTATACGGTTCATTTCTGACAAAATTTTTATAGTAGTAAGTAGTTTAAAAAAACACTTTAAAACTTTAGTGGTTTGGTAGCTCCATCAGAACTTGAGAATGGCTTACCTGAAACATAAAAGTAAAATGGTTTTATATTCTGTATGACTTCAGCTACAAAGTAACAATAATATATGAAATTTTTATCAATAAATAAAAAAATGGTAGACAAATTACAAAAAAAACGTAAATATGACCTTTTTTTTCATTGTTTTTGACTAAAAATAAATAGTAAAAATTAAAATATAAGAAAAGATTTACCGTCAC